ATTTTAAAGCACTAATAATTTTTGGCATGGTGGTGCACATGGGGCCTAGAAGCCAATATTTTGCCAAGCCCATACTACATTTATTCTCGTCTACATCATCATCAGTTTTAGATTTTCTTTTCAAAAAATAAACAAAATGTGCGACACATTGCCACACTATTTATTATTGCCAGCCTTCTTAATGCTATTAAATAAAATATTCCCATCGATTACTCGTTTAATATTTACTCTTTTTTCTGCCAACTATCACTTAAGCCACTATAACTAGCATTTTTAAATTAAACAGTTCAAACAGGTGAAAAGCTTATGACTATTCTGTCGAATATTCTGATTTAGACACAAAATGAAAATATATACTAATATATTGATACAATTCGGAAGAAATATATGAGTAAATGAAACATAATTTTATGTTATTGAAATTTTCCGGAAATTAAGATCAGTAAATTTGTTTTTCTTAAAAATTTTCCGTAATTTTGTCTGATTTTTCGTTTTTTTAAAAACGGCAAAAATTATCTCTTTAGAAAAGCATTTCCATACTTTGATCTTTATTGTTATAAAAAAAAGAAAAGAAAAAAATGAAAAATTGCTGTCAGATTAAGGCCAAAGCCGCTAATACAATCCACCCTGTTCTCTCTTTACTCCATTTTAGCCGCTCTTCCTACTTTACACATTTCTATCCCAGCTGTTATCGAATAAGACCCATAAATTTCCTTCTTTTTATAATCTCTTTCTTAGGCTATTCACAACTATAGGCCCTTTTGTTTAGCGATGCATCAAATGTAGCAATATTTTTTGAATGCCATTTTCAGCCTCTTTTATCACCAGAATTACTTTTCAAAACAACTTTTCTAACTTATTTGCAAGGTCAAATTTTGTATTTTGAGAATGGATTTTTAATTTCCAATTTCATAATTTATTAATAGTATACAGTCATAATTTATTTAATAGTATACAGTTATAGAATCGGATCTATTGAATTTCAAAAAAAATGAATTAAAAGTTTCAATTTCGAATTTTTTCACGAAACGTTTTTTGTTTGAATTAAAACTACTTACTATTTAATATTTTTATGAATTCGTTTTTTATTTTGAAGAAAGCAGAATTTGTTAATATCGATAAGAATCTTTATTTCAATATTATTTACTCTCATCCCTATCATTTCCATCAACCAAAGGTGAGGACAGAACAGTATGTCTGTCTCTCTCGAAGTTATATAGACCTTTTACTTTGAAGACATTGTGCGGTTGCTTGAAGGAATTTTTTGAATTTCTTGATCTTTGCATGATATGGATGGATAGGAGGGAGAATGAAATTGCACAGACCCTAAAAAATGTTTTGAAAGATAGCCAACGAAAAAAAAAACTTTCTATTTCTTACTGCAAAATTTGTTCAAGTTAGCAATCGATGTTACGTAAAGATAGCCCTTCAAACATCCATGGAAAAAATAAATTTTGTTCCTACATCTGAATCTATTTTTTATCAACGCTACTTATTGCTAGTTTGCTCAATAAAGTCAATTTCAACAAATGCTCTTTATGAAGTCAAATTTAAATATCTTCTATTGCACGGATTTGCAATGGTCAAATAATATTGAAATGCGGATTTCGGATATTCGAAATGACCTTGCTTAGTATTATCTGAGCTTCGTATTTGATGATCGGAGAGTATAGTGATAATATAATTACCAGCTAAATGAAGTATTCTAGTTGACAGCTGCGCTTCTTTCATGAATTCCGTAAATATGGCACTTTATTTGGCGGTCAGATATGAAGCAATAATAGTGATTGATTAAGATTCGAAAATTTTCTATATTTTGTATTATTAGTTGATTGTGCTCGTAAACATTTTTTTGCAAAAATAACCCCTTGGGTTTATTCCTGCTATTTGCGAATGTCATTTTAGCAATCTTATCTTTGAAATATTGGCAGCTTTATGTCAAACAATCGTTGATTTTATTTATTCTCACAAATGGTAGCAAATGAAACGAGAAATACGAGAGCGGCTAATACGAAAATAGCAGTCGCAAATTTTAATTTCATTCCTAGGAAATCATATAATGCTTAAATATCCGTCTTTTTTTCTGTGAAAATATATTAAGTGTCTTATTTGTTGGAGTAATAATGGTTACGATGACAAATGAAGCATTTATTAATTATCAGAAATTCAGCGATTAAAAGCATCGTGAAGATTAGAATTAATCTGCTAATCTTCAGGAGATATCACAAACAAAAATATCTACAACAATTTTTTTTGTTATGAATAAAATCGGTTGGCAGCAATTTGTTAAGTGCAAATAAAAAGTTTTTATTTGTTATTGAATTACCGACAATAACAAGAAGTAAAAGATTGCTTTGAGTTCCACGATATCAAATTAAATCGACTTGATAAAGATGTTTTTTTTTCAAATTTTCTTTGTTTAGTACTATTAAAGTGAAGACCATTTAACATGTCTAATATATTTAATAATGATATGTATGCTTTGAAAATTTTTCCATTAAAAAACTTGTGGTTTTATTGACTCTTTAAGTGAGTTGTTACTATTGT